CCCACACGTCTACCAGCTGATGAAATGGGGCAGCCAAATGTGGTCAGTCCAATAACCCACTGATGTTAGGTTGATTCCGACTCTTACAGGCAAGGGTGGAGAGCAGACAGCCCACAGCCTGTGAGTTTGAACTTACAGCTGACTCTCCACTGGGCTTCTGAGGCTGTAAGTTGCCCAGGAGGACCTGGTCCACCTTTCTCCCTTGGAGCTGTCGATGGATTTTAACTGTCAAAAGTGGCACTGCCCATCCTTCCCCAAGAGGAGCCGCTGGTAGATTCTGATTGCTGGAGACGCTCGCCTTTGGGTCAGCAGTGAACTGGCTGTGGACACCACCACCAGAGTGCAGCAAGCAACAACAGTCAAGGACTCAGACATGCGGCAATCAGATGACCCCTGAAGAGCTGCTGGGAGAGAAGCCTCGTCCTGCGTGTGCACACGGTGCTAACCTTATGAAAGGTGCAGATCTGGAGAGGTGCAGAACAGTGATCTCTTGTTTATTTTTAACATGTCTGATGTGAACTCTGTGGCTGGATTCTTCTAAGATGTTTGAGCAGAGTTGGATATTCTATTTTCCCTTCATTGCAAAACGACATCCCCAAGTACAGTATTCTTCAGGCCACAAGAGGCACGTTCAAGGTCCTGAACAGCAACTATACTCCATCAGAGTTTCTAGCCTCAGCAGTGACCTGGGCATGATTCTCTTTATGCTTATCTCAAAAACTCCAGGATCCCCACACCTTTGAAACCAGCCCCTTGGCAGTCTGTGATAAACCCCCGTGGGTCACAGTAGTGTTATGTTCCACAGGGACTGCAATGGCCAGCCCTTCGAGTGGACTCCAGCTGGTTCCAAGGACTGATTTCTGCAAAAATGAATCTCTCAGAAGGAGCTGTAAGTCACTTAGTTGTTTTTTGGTGTGTGTGGTTTTTTTTTTTTTTTTTTAGGCTCTCAGCATATTTAAAAAACCGACTGGATTAAAGAAAAAAATTCTATTCGCAATTCAGGCAATGAGATCCTGTAATATGACACAGGAGTTGAAATCCGGATGATGTGATTTCAGTGTGTTTGTTATGTCAAATCCTGCCTGAAACGGCATAAGCCTTCCTATATAGAACCTAATTTGGAGATACAGTACTTGTACTAAAAACCTCACATTGCAGCCCAGACCCCAGGTTTGCCAACCCTCCAGAGAACGCTCGTGGCCTTGTTTGGTGCAGGAATGGACGAACCAGCTCAGCATGGAGCAGCACCCAGCAGTGCAGACACTACCCTGTAGACTGGACGGTGCAGGGCACGCGGGGAAGCAGTGGCCGCGAGTCCACGGCCAGGGCCCAGTTAGGTCACGGCCCCGCCAAGTCCTGGCTTTCTGCAGGGGTTCAGCCCCGTAGTCCACAGCGCGCGTTCCCGAGCCCCGCGCGTTCCCGAGCCCCGCACGTGTCTCCCAGCGCGCGTCCCCGAGCCCCGCACGTGTCTCCCAGCGCGCGTCCCCGAGCCCCGCACGTGCCCGTGGAGCCCCGCGTGAGCGCGCCCGGCCGCTGCGCCGGAAGTGACGCCACAGGACCACATAGCAACCGTTGCCAAGGCGCTGTGTCTGGCTCGTCCCGGAGCCCCCGCGCCTCCTGACGCGGGGAAAGTGGCTTCTGCAGGGACTTTGAGGTAACCCCGCCGGCCCGCAGCCGGACACCTCGTGAACCCCGAAGTAGGCGGCGACGCGCGCTCCTCTCACGCCGCGGCCTGCGGCTGGGCTCCGGCAGTCCACCTCCTCCTCGGGGCGGGCCGTGCGCTGGACGCAGAGTCCCTCGGGGGTCCCGGGGCCGCCCCCCGCGAGGAGCCCGAGGGGACCCCGGGGGCGGGCGCACTCGTGGCGGGGTGGGGGGCAGCGCGGGTCTTTCCCCGGGCCCCGGGACGGGCGTCCATCGGCCGTCGCTTTGGCTCATTGTGGAGCGCAGTGTCCCGGGCTCGGGCCCCGCCGGGGCCTTGGGCGAGCGGTTCCCCGTGTGCTCGGAGGAAGAAAGGCCTGGCGCTCCCCGCGTGCTCGGAGGAAGAAAGGCCTGGCGCTCCCCGCGTGCTCGGCGATAGAAAGGCCTGGCGCTCCCCGCGTGCTCGGCGATAGAAAGGCCTGGCGCTCCCCGCGTGCTCGGGGGAAGAAAGGCCTGGCGCTCCCCGCGTGCTCGGCGATAGAAAGGCCTGGCACTCCCCGCGTGCTCGGGGAAGAAAGGCCTGGCGCTCCCCGCGCGCTCGGCGATAGAAAGGCCTGGCGCTCCCCGCGTGCTCGGCGATAGAAAGGCCTGGCACTCCCCGCGTGCTCGGCGATAGAAAGGCCTGGCGCTGCCCTGTCCTGCGGGAACGGGGTTGGTCTGTTCCTGACCCCTCCCGGTAACATTGCACCCATTTCTCCAGGCTGCTGCTGCTGCTTTAAAAGAAAAAAAATGTCAAATGAGCTAATTTAAAAATAACTTAAAATAATCCTAAATCTATGTGCCTGCGAAGGTGGCGGTATCGACTTTTGCATGAGATTCTTGCAACTGTGGGAACTGGCATCTCCAGTGCAGGTTTTCCATGCCCACCCCAGCCACCCACACTTAGTAAAAGATTGTCCTTCTAAAAACTCAGGGAAGTCTCAAATAATAATCTCCCCTAATACTTTTTTTCCTGATTTCTTTAAAATTAATAATTGACTTGTAATTTTATTATCATTACAGAGAACTGTACAGATATTTACGTTCTTATGTTTTATAAATATTCAGTTCCATTCAGTTAAACAAACATTAAAAAAACAAAACAATTGCGGAGCAAGGTTCTTGAAGTCCTGCTTCACATCCGTAGTACAATTGCAATGATTTCTCCTACGAGGAAGCACTGACGCAACCATCTTAGATTTATCTGCTTATTTATAATTTAGAAGAATAATTACGGAGTTGAGGCAAAAACATTCAGCTTTGAACTTACCGTTTGGTGGTGTGAATCCACAAGGCCTCCCACCCTATGGGAGGAGAGAGCAGAGGCAGTGGGGTCCATAAGGGTCCAACCCGCTGGGGCAAGTCTGCTCTGTTTGTAGTGTCACCACGAGTCGGAATTGACAGCAGGTCAGGCTTGGTTTAAGGTTTTAAAAAGTTGCCTGCCTGCTTTCCATAGTTAACAAGTAAAACCTGCACGCTGACAACGCTTAAGGTATTTGTTGAAGGTTTTTTCAATAATTGAAAACTCAGATAACACTGTTTTTCCAAAAGCATTATTATCTTCCTCATGCCTAGCCCGGTATCTTTTACACCTGCACTTGCGTTTTTGTCTGGTCTTGACGACAAAGCCATTCAATCTAGTCAAAGAAGTCGCTGCCTCAGTCAGTCAGTGAAATTAGATATAGTGGGTTAGCATTGGCTGCTAACTGGAAGGTCCGTGGTATGAACTCACTGAGCCACTCTGTTGGGGAAATGACATGATCATCCACTCCCGTAGAAATTAGGGAATTGAAATGAGAAATTAGCCTGGGAAGCTCCGTGTGTCCGGGAGATTTGCTGTGAGTCATACCGACTTGTCAGCACGCGACAAGACAGGATAAAACGTGTACATGACTAATTAATACAAAATAAAAAGAGGCATGCAGGTAAAAGTTGAGTCTACTGGGAGGAAGCCCAGTGTGTTGTATTACCCTGCTACACACCGTAAAAGATGGCTTAAGAAGGGTTCACGGAGGAAATTGCCATTGGTGGCCAGGACCTGGAAGAGGGGTAGGATTTCCGCCCCTGGAGGGGACAGAGGAAGGCCCGAGAGCGGTGTTCTCTACGGCATTTGTGGTTGAGGGCCTGTGAGTCCACTTTGACAGTTAGCGATCCCCTGCACCGGAGGAGAACTGCTCTCCTGTGGGCCTTGGCTTCATATTTACAGTAGCAGATGGCCAGGTGCTCCTGTGGGGGCTGAGTGACTTTGAACTGCTCACCTTTCAGTTAGCAACCCAGCACCTAACTGGGGCACCACTAACTGAGTCCCTTGTGGAAAGGCCATCGGGTGATAAAACCCCCAAACCCAAGAAACTCTTTACAGGGCTGGGGCTGCATCCGCTAACTGAAGCACGCGATGTTGGCAAGATGATGGCTTGGGAATAAGGCTGAGAAAGACGAGAGTAAGCAAGTTCACAAGGAGGCTCGAAATCCAGGTTGGATTTTGTTTTGTAGATAATGAGACACTTGCCGTTGGTTTGGAATGGTGAAAGACAGACCAGCGACTAGGAAGTCCGGAGGAAATGGTGGGCTGAAGTGAGTGAGGGTGGCAGAGTTGACACAGAAATGGGGGCAGAGGGCCCCAGCAGACAGCTTGAGGCCCAGCCTCAGGCGTGTGCCCAGGGTTGCGGCCGCTGATGCTCCAAAAGGAGCTGGAGATCTGAATTTTAGTGTAAAATCTCCCAGTGTTTTAGATGTGGATTGCTAATGAAAAAGATAAAAAATGACCAGTGTGTCAGTGGCCTAATAGGTTCATGTCCCTGAGTAGAAACGGAAGGGATGCCCCACTGTGCTGCTGTCATGGGGCTTCCCCCGCCCCGAAGCCCGTAGGAGAGTGTGAACTACCCCAGAGTCTCCAAGGTTGTAACTCTTTAGGGAGGTAGGGCTGCCACGTCTTCCTCTCTCGGAGCTCTTAGTAGAATTGAACAGCTGATCTGCTGGGTAGCAGCCTGGCACTGGCCTGCGGTGCCCCCAAAGCTCCTTGTGGGGGACTTGTAGGGCTGACTTACTATCTCCATTTGTTCATCAGTATAGATGATTGCTGTGCTCTGGTCTAGATAGAAAAAATCTGATTTTTAAATGTTAGCACTTTCATAATAAAAATCTTCCTATCCTGCTTTCTTTAAATGAAGTAACTCTTTCACAACATTGTGGAGTCTTTTGTGTATACTTCCTATGAACGGAGTAATAGTGTGTGTGTGTGTGTGTGTGTGCGCGCGCGCGCGCGCGTGTGTTTCTGGAAGTATGATTCCCGATATTGAGAAACGTTGTCTCTATTTTTATTCTTTAGTAAAAGTTACTATACGGCCTAATTATGAGTGATCAGATCAAATTCATTGTGGACAAGCTCAATAAGGATCCTTTTAGGAAGAACTATAATTTAATCACCTTTGATTCCCTGGAGCCAATGCAGCTATTACAAGTGCTCAATGATGTTCTGGCAGAGATTGACCCAAAGGTAAGAGTTTCCCCTTCCATGGTGCTGTGCGGAGAGGACTGGGCAAGAGACATGCTGCTTCCTGTCCCAACGTAGGCGAGGCTTTCTGACAGACAGTTAAACCCCTCCGGGCTTTATTTTCCATGCCTATAAAGTCATGTATGTAGCCCTGGTGTTGTCGCCGGTTAAGTGTTGGACTGCTGGACAAAAGGCCAGAAGTTGAAACCCACCAGCAGAGCCACCAGCCCGGCAGCGTCCTCCTGTTAGGAGGTGGAGGCTGGGCAGCTGGTGGAGGTTGGCCAGGAGGCGGTCAGCTCTGGCAGTGGTTAGTAAATGAGCTTTAAAGTTTCTGTACCAGCTTAAAAATTCAATTATCTGCTTGTATCTTAGTGGAAAATTATTTCCCTGCTTCTGGATATAAATAGATTGGTCTGGAATGAAAAAGTTTTTACAAAAGGCTTTATTGTATTACAAGTTAGCTCATGTCTCTCACACGCCGGCCTTTTCCACGGGAGGCTGCCTGTCTTGTTTTTAAGGTTACCATTCTTCATACGAGTGCTGATGTGATTCATGTACACTCTCATTTGGAATTTGAGGGCCTTCATCCCTCATCTGTTTTATCAAGAGACCATTGTGCCCAGTATGCCCTTGCAGGATAATTTTGTCAATGAGTTTAACTGTTTCTCTTTGTTAAATATACAACAATAATGTCTTGTCTCTCTTTCTTTCTTTGTTAGCAAGTTGTTGATATTAGAGAGGAGATGCCAGAACAGACAGCCAAACGGATGTTGGGCCTGCTTGGTATCCTTAAATACAAGCCTCCAGGAAATGCCACAGACATGTAAGAACCGATCATGGCTTGGGTTTGGCTTTTAAAATATGTGCTTTTACACACTCAAACTTCCTGATGTTATAGTCCCTCTTTTTAGGAAATACCTATGGTCGGGTGTCCTTCAGGTGACTCCGGTTTATAGACACCTGTAGACAGCAGTGTGAGGCCATGCTCAGGCCTGTGCCCTCCGCACAGTCACTGCCCGCTGGAGCCCACCGTGTCACTGTCTCAGGGAGCTCGCCCTCGCTTCTCCTGATCTTGTATCTTACCAGGGATGCTCTCCTTCTCCAAGGCCTGGTGGCTCCTGGGAACATGACCGCAGCATGTGAGATAAGTCTTGGCGCCTTCGCTGCAGATGAGCTCTCTGAGTGCCCTCCTCCCAGGAACACCTGGCCTTCCTAAAGCCTCGTCTCTCCTCCCCGCCAGCGAGTGGCCGCCGACTCCTCACTGACCATCCAGCGAGTCTCTAAGGCTCTGGATTATGTGACAGGAGACTTCCCAGCTCTTCCTTGGACTGGCTAGTAGATCTGAACTTCCAGGAAGTGCAGCCTGTGGTTTCAACCCTCTGCAGACTCTGCCACCAGCATTTCATCTGAAAGTGATGGCCTGGAAGTCTCACTGAATTCATGCACAAGTCCTGCGTGGGCCAGTTCTTTCCCAAGTCAAATGGCCTAGGAGATTAATGGATCCATTTATCATTTATCTGCCGACCTGGGATGGACAGGCAACTTAAACAGGGCCTAGTCAGTGGAATGAGGTTCTGAGAGTCACTGTGTCATAGTGAGTTAGTATTAGACTCTGACTGACACGCCACCAGCTGGGGAGAAGAGACCGTCTCCTCCCATTAAGAAATTACAGTGTTGGACGCCCTCCTGGACAGTCTTGCTGTGTCCTTCAAGGTCACTGACATTCTGAACACACTTAATGGCAGTGGATGTACGAGTAATGATTCCACCACAAGTTCCCTGAATTTTCTAGTGATAAAATGAGGGCCCAGTTTTATGCTCACTAGGTAGATACTTCTTCATTGACGAAGTCAGTAAGTGAGGACTGTGGCATTAGGATCAGAAGAGCACTTAATAACCTGTGAGGTGCAGATGACAGAACCTTGCTGGACGTAAGTGAAGACTTGAAGCACTTACTGAAGAAGATCAAAGACTACAACCTTCAGTAGGATTACACAGACATCAAGAAAACAGAGTTCCTCCCAACTGAACCATGATTGTAAGTGGAGAAAAATTGAAGTCAGTGAAGATTTCATAGTACTTGGTTCCACAGTCAGTGCCCATAGAAGCAGCAGTTGGAAAGGCACACGGGCGTTGGTGTGCACAGGCATGCGGAGGACCTCTGTGGCCCAGGAGAGTGAAGAGTGAGGACAGAGCTCCCCCGATGCAAACCACCACGTTCTTCTCAGTCACTTCATGTGCACGTGGAAGCCGGTTACTGAACAACGAAGGCTGATGAATCGATGCCTTTGAATTGTGGTGTTGGTGAAGAATGCTGAATATACTGTGGGGTTGTCATGCAGCTTCAGAGTGGTCTTGGACTGAGGATGCTGAGACGTGATGTTACGTACTTCGGCTGTCTAGCTTGGAGAGGGAGGTCAGCACAACAGGAAGGCCCTCAACAAATGGCTGCAGGAGTGGGTTCCTGCACAGCAGTGACTGCGGGTGGTACAGGACTGGGCGGTTTTGTTCTATTGTACCTTGTTGTTGTTGTGTGCTGACCCAGAGCAGACCCTCCAGCGGGTTTTCAGAGGCACTGAATTGCACAGGAGGAGATGCTGCATCCTTTCTCCACATAGCAGCTAGTGGATTCAAAGCGTGTACCTTTGGGATTGCAGTGCAGCTTCTTACCCCTGGGCCACCAGAGCGCCCATCTGTTGTACGTAGGATAGTCCAAGTCGGAGCCAACTCAGAGATGCCTGACAGCAGTGAAGTGCAGACTGACTTTGTTCCGTGTGTGTGTGTGTGTGTGTGTGTACCTCAAATCAGATCTGACTGGTACAGGAGGAGATTGTCCCTCCTTCCCCGGCAGAGCATCTGGTAGATTCGAACCGTGTGCCTCTGGGATTGTAGTTGCAGCTCCTTGCCACTAGGCCACCAGAGCTCCCCTGACTTTTTGTTCCTTTTTAACAGAGATGTATGGGAAGCCTAACTATTAATAGCCAATGGGATTTTGAGCAGATTTTACCTGTTTTCCGGGTTTCCTGGTAAGCCTCTGTGTGCATGCTTTCTTTTTCCAGGAGTACCTTTCGTCAGGGTCTGGTGATAGGAAGTAAACCTGTAATTTACCCAGTGCTCCACTGGCTTCTTCAGAGGACTAACGAGCTGAAGAAAAGAGCATATTTAGCTCGTTTTTTAATAAAACTTGAAGTACCAAGTGAATTTCTCCAGGATGAAACTGTGGCTGACACCAATAAACAGGTACACAATTTGTAAATGGTATTTTTAAACTGTGATATGTTTCAAAGAGCCCTGGTGGTGCGTTGGTTGAGCACTTGGCTGCCAACTGAAAAAATTGGGGGTTGGCAGCCACCCACAGGTCCCCAAGAGAGAGGAGGCTCAATCCGCCTCAGTAAAGCTTAAAGCCTGGGAAGCCGTGTGCGCCATGTACAGCGTCACCACGTCAGAGCCACCTCCAGGCAGGACGCTTGAGTGAATTTCAAGGTGCATAAGTTCAAATACACAGTAGTCTCTTTTTATGCTACTTTTGTAGCACCAAAAGAGACACCAAAAGGTAGAACGGTACTAGCTGTGTAACGACCTGTGTATTCACCTGTTTTAGTGGTATGCTTGAAAACAAATCAGGCCACTGAAATGGAATTTTCGTTATTTCTTGATTATGAGTTGTGCGTAGATGGAATCCGAGGCCTCACACAGCAAAGCATGTTGCTTTTTAGTGGAACCATGGTAGTGCAGTACTTAAGCACCTGACTGCTGACCAAAAGGCCAGCAGTTCCAGCCCACCAGCTGCTCCTCAGGAGGAAGACGTAGCAGTTTTTCCATGTAGATTACAGCCTTGGGGCAGCACAGCCGCCTCTGGCCCTCCAGCCGCTCCACAGGAGAAAGTGAGATGTCTGTCCAGGGAGGTGTTCTCCCTTCGCAGAAACCCAGTGTGGTCATTTTCTGGTTCTTCTTTTTTAACACTGTGTGGTTGAGAGCACACCTGGCCAACACAGCAGTCAGCAGTGTGTGTGCAGCACTCGGTGCCGTTGACTGCAGTCTCCAAGGGCGTGGCCATTCGCACCTTCTTTTTCAAGTCTACTTAAATTATGCCTTCCAACCTTCTTGTGTAACTTTTCCAGTTGCTGTTGTCCTGTTATTCCCAGGTAGATCTCAAAAGCTCTTAATACTCCAGACAGATGTTATTTACTCGCTAAGCCAAAGAAGACATTGTCGTTAGTTGCTGTGTGTGCAATCTGAACTTGCCATCGCTGACCCTGCGGCGGGTTTGCAGAGACTGTGGACCACATGGGAAGAGATGGCTCATCTGTCTCCAAAAAAGCAGCTGGTAGATTTGAACCCCATGCCTGTAGGTTGTCAGTGCACCTCTTCACCCTTTAGGCCACCAGAGCTCCCTAGGAGGAAGTTAGAGGTTCCTTTTTATTTGAAGATTGTCTCAGGGTAGTACATTTGGGAGTTCAAGTATCCTTCATGGCTCCAAAATGTCTGGAGTCCATGAGAGTTTGGAGTTTTGTTCTGCACATTCCCCTTTTTGATTGGGATTCTTCTGTGGAATCTTTGATCACATCTTGTTTGTTCAGCTACTGTGCCGTTATTTTGGTTTCATGGCTGAGGAGGCAGTTTATGGAGCCAGTGAGCCCGTCATTCCAGATCCTCCTCTTAGTCCAGATGCTCCTTCTTGACTATTGCATGGGAGGAGAGACCGCTGTTGCCTTGGATGACTGCTTGCAAGCTTTGGAAGCCCAGGAGTTACACGTAGAGCTGGGAGGTAGACGACTAAACAAGTTACAAGGACCATTAACTTCATGAAACTGTGACCCTAACCCTCCCGACCAAAGAACCCAACCCCGCTAGGAGCTTCCTCTCATCTTTGCTTGTTACTGGAAGGGTATCTATCATACAGCCTTTTCTAATTCATCTTTTTTAGAGCTACTCAGCTTATCGACAGCAGTTTTCATAATTGGCTGTGTATCTCTCCCTGTGACCTATGGGATTTCTCCATCACTGTTGTTAACCCCTCTTTCCCTTCTTCTTGTCGTTGGTTCTCTGCTAATGAATTTTGGTTTCCATGTATTTGCTTTTTCTTGTTTTTATTACAAAGTCAAGTCGTACAGTGTTTGTCCTTCTGTAATTTATTTATTCAGCATGATGCCTTCTAAGTCCCTGAGGCTTTCTTCAGCGTGTACCAAACCTCACTTCTCCCACTGGCTGGGTCGGATTCCGTTGCATGTAGGGTTCACATCTTGTGTATCCATTCATCTCTTGACGAGCTCTTGGGTTTTTTCCTACCCTTTGGCACGTAAATGGTGCTGTCCTGAACACTGGTATGCAAGCCTCTTTCTGAGTGTTGGTTTTCAAGTCTTTGGGCCTTATACCTCACGGAAGAAATGCTTGATCATATGCTGGCTCTAACTTTAGTGTTTCTGAGTCACCGTGACATCGACTCCCACAGCAGCTCTGCTATGTTTCGTTCCCATTAGCGGTGGGTAAAGATTCAGACTTCCCAACATCCGCAGCAGCGTTTGTTATTTTCTGTTTGTTTAATCTTAGCCATCCTAGTGGGAGTGACATGGTATCTCATTGTGGTTTTGATTGACATCTTCCTGATTTTGAATGTCAAATGTCTCCACAGATGCATGTGAGAAAGTAGAGTGAGTGAAAAATCATGTAGGAAATGGAGAGAGAGAAACGGCGGCTCTTTCCCGTCCTGCCCCTTCCTTCTACATCAGTAATGCCTCTGGAGGAATTTTTTTTTTTAATAAAAAAAAAAATTGTGTTTACATAGAATCATTCAGAACGTCAAGAAAACAGCTGCAACTTTTTTGCTTTTCTTTCTTTTTTTGCAGTTACAGAGTGGTATTCAGTTAGCAGAACAATGGTATTCAGTTAGCAGAACAACAGTTACTTTGTACAAGCTGCAGTGGCTTCCACTTCCTAAACATCAGGCCTCCGGAAGCTCTGTGAACGCTGATACATGTCCGTAGTTGTAGACGGGCTTCAGGCCTTTTGTTCATAGGCTCTTCTCGAAGGCAATCACAAGAAGAAGAAGAAGCAGCAGCTGCACCAGACGACTAAAGAGAAAAAAATCCCTGCTGTCCCCACAGATAACTCATTTGTGCTGCGCGCCAACAAGAATCTGCCTTAAATTTCCATGCCGGTTTACAAGCCGTGTGCCAGGCCATTGAACATACCACAGGACAGGGCTTTTGAAAGATACATTCAGTAACGTGGTAACTATCCAAAAAAAGGACACTGCACAGTTTAAAAACAAGTCTTACACGCCAATTCTTGTTTTTTTAAAAGGAGTGAGATGTGTACAAGAGGGTTAAATGCTTTGCAGATAAGGAAAAAACCTGCGCTACAACCAGCTTATCCTCATCTTCCTCCTCCTCCCCTTCCTCTTCATCTTCCTCCTCCTCTTCTTGCTCTTCTTGGCCTTGACGTCCTCCTTTCTGGCCCCAGGCTGGCCTTGAGCCCCGAATGCAGCAGTGTCCTTCTGGGACTTCTCCTTCCTCTCGACAGCTGCTTTCTCACGGGGCTGCTTGTCACCGGCAGCAGTATTATTCCACATCGCTCCCAGCTTCTTCACAGCGTCCCCAATGCAAAGGCCAGGTTCGCCTTGGATTTTAGGGTGATACTCAGAACAAAGAAAGACAGAAGCCACAGGGGGGCCTCTTGGGCACATGGGGCTCTTTGACCTTGTTTTTCGTTTTGCCATTAGGAACGATCCAGGTTTCCATCTCTCTCCTAATGGGCCGTGTCCGCCTTTACGTGTTTTTCATTTTCCTTTCTCTTAGCAGACACGGTCTCCCACCTCTCCGAGCAAGTCTTAGAACATTCTGAGAAGCCGACAGAAGCATCCGGGGCCTTCCTCTTATGCTCTTCCAGCAGGTTGCAGGAAAAATGTCTGCTGGCATTCTGCCTCTGCATCTTGGGTTCTCCTTTGCCCGTGGTTAGCTAGCTGTTTCTCCTCTGTGAGATACGGAGTCGCCCAGTGCCATCCGGCTCTGCCTGGCCAGGTGCCGTCTCTGAGGAGCTCAGTGTAATGCACTGGCTGTTGGAGGGAACACGCTGGGGAGTAAAAGACATGCTTGTTCTTGAAGTCAGTCTGAGAGTAAATCTGACGTGAACACATCTAACCAGGTGAATGGAAAATGCACATTATTTTTCAGAATGAAGAATATGAAAATGAGTGACTGCACAAATGATTTGTAGATTTGTGAGACATGATCACTTCCTGTTGTTACCCATACAGAAAGAAAACCACTTAAGAATTTTTTGGTTTAGGTAACAATTGTTGTTTCTCTTCCTCTTTATTAAATAACTGAGCTCCTCTGTGACTTACACCCTGTGCTAGGTTCCAGGGGTACAAAATGTGTGTATATATATATATAAGATCAAGCAAGTTGTTATTGTTAAGTGCTGTCGAGTTGGCTTGCAACTCCTAGTGACACTCCGTACATCAGTTCTGAACCCTGCTCTACCCTGAGCCAACCTCATCGTCTCCAGCACTCCTGTAATACGTAGTCATTTATTGTATGTGTATGGCATTACTGGGACTGGCTCGGTACAGGGTCAGAGAATGCTGCTCTAAGGTGAGCATGAAATGTGAAGGAGAAATAGGATATATGCAGGTTATGAATGACAGAGGGATAGATTCTCAGAGGGAGCATCGAATGCTCCAAGTACTGAAAGACACCAACGTAACCAGGGAGAAAGCAGAAGGTGGAATCTTTAGTGACTTGACTGGTCACATCTATTTCTGTGTCCTAGAGTGACTGTAACCGTGGACTTGAAGGTATCAGAGATGAGGAGGATGGCACAGGATGGGCAAGGTCGTTCACAGGGTTGCTGTGTGCCGTCGTTAACTCAGTGTCACCTTAGAACAACATGCAGGCGTTGGGCATAGGATCGCCATGAGTCACACTTGATGGGATGGCACCTGACAGCAATGTGTATTGTTTAAGGATACGTTTCTAAGTGCTGTTTTTATGATCTACATAATCTAAGTTGGTAACTTTATAAAGTACAGCCTGCGACATCTACTCATTTATCGTTTTCTAACTTCTTATTTCAGTATGAAGAATTGATGGAAGCCTTCAAAACTTTGCATAAAGAGTGCGAGCAACTTAAAACATCTGGATTTTCCACAGCAGAAATAAGAAGGGTAAATTAAAAAAGGAGCCCTAATATTTATGTGAATTTGAATCTTTAGAGTCGTCAGTTTTAGCTAATTTAGTATGTCCCATAAGATGTATGGGAGCAAGTGATGGCAGCTGACAGATTTCCTTTGGGATAGGACTTTTGAGGGAAGAAATCGTGCTACAAAGAGTAAATGAAAACCCATCTTTTCTGTAAACCTTTGTTCAAATCACAATTTTTTTAAAAAGATGCAATTTCTGTTTCCTAATGAAGTAAAAAGATAAAGATGACATAGATACCTCAGCAGTTCTTTGGGTGGGGGGAAAAGGGCGCCTCTTGTTCCGCTTTGTTGTCATGGAAGTTTCTTCTTGAGGGAGACCTTCTGGGTGTCCTGCTGGGCGCCTTGACTCCCTGCAATCCTAGGCTCAGCACGTCTACACCTTACCCTCTTGTGCCTCATCCTCACGCTCTCTGCACTGCACGGCCCGCTGTTACCGTCCCTCTGTCAGTCCATCTTGTCGAGGGTCTGCCTTTGCTGGCCCTCTCTCTGCCTTCCCCAGCATGATGTCTTTTTCCAAGGACTTGCCTCTCTGATAACATACGCAGAGTATTCAAGATGAATTTTCACCTTACATCTAAGGAGCGTCACCTGGTCGCACTTGTGCCAAGACAGATATGTTGGTTCTTTTGGCAGTCCCTGGTGTATTCAGTACTGTTGTCCAACACCACATTCTTATTCATTGTCTTATTTTCACATGCAGAGGAAGCCATTAAAAATGCCATGGCTTGGATCAAGTGTACCTTCGTCTTTTTAACTGATGTCCTTGCTCTGTGGCACTTTGGAGAGGTTCTTGATAAAAAACAATCACAATGCAGTATGTCTTCGTGGCTTGACTGCTGTAGCTTTGGGTGCCGACTGTGGATCCAAATAAATGACATGATTGACAGCCTTGTTCTCTTCCCCGTTGATTGTGTTGGGGTTGCCTGTTGGCCCGGTGCTGAGGACTTCTGGTTTTTGATGCTGAGATGCAATCTGTATTGCAGGTTGTGGTTTTTGATCTTCTACAGTAAGTGCTTCAGTTCTTCAGTTTTGGCAGACAAGGTTGTGTCATAGCGGAGGCTGTTGATGAGTCTTCCTCCAATCCTGATGCCACATTTTTCTTCATATAGCCCAGCTTCTTGAGTGATTTGCTCAGTGTAAAGATTGAATAGTGGAGAAATGAGCCAACTCTGATGCATGCCTTTCCTGATTTGGTGGACGTTTTAAAATCTTTTTTTTTTGGTGGTGTACTGTATATAAATGCTGTCATCTCCTTCTCCTAAGTAATGTTATATCCTGACATTTTCCCATGGCATTAAACATTTTTCTGCATATTTTTAGTGGTTTTCATTGTAATTTATTTAACAATTCTCAGAGTTCTGAGTCATTTCCAATTTTTAGATGAAATTGGAACTGTGATGAGAATCCTTGTGGCGAAGTCTGTACCATTTCACGAATATTTTATTAGAACAGATTACTAAGAGTAGAGTTACTGGATTAGAAAGTACATACATTTTTAACATTTTTTATATTATTCTTCTAATGCAGCTCTACCAGTAGTGAGTAATCTTATCCATCTTCTCCTTCTGTCAGTAGTAACGGAATATTTTTACAAGATAAATATAAATAAAATAATAAAGTTACCGTGAGAGTCAAACTATTGCTTTTAAAAAAAGTGTTAGGTTTGTTTCATTTAAAACTATTATGGAAGGAGTTAAAAGGAAAGTCATTTGTTTTGGACTCTTTCTTATCAGGAGGGGAATTGGTTAATTGGCAAAACCAGACACAAATTTCTGTCTTGGAAATATCATACTCATAAAAAAGAATTTTGATGGCAAATTGGCAGAATACATGGCTTGGTATTTAGCAGAGCAGATGGGATGTCAGCAGCTGTTGTTCTTGTATTTAGACCTGCACACTTTCCATGATGGAAGATTTTTGAAAAATCATGTACCCATATTTAGAATCGGAACAGAAATATGCCAGTTGGCAGCTTTACCTTGCTGCGTTATAACCTGTTTTAGCTTCTTTTCTAGATGAAGCCCAAGCTGCCAAATCAATTACCCCATGTGAAAGAGCCCTGGGGGAAAAAATAGAAATGCCCTTCATCTTACTTCTACCCTGGTTAGAAGTGAGGGAAAGGGGCCTGTGCACGTTCGGGAAATCAAGTCTAAATTCTAAAGACTAAGAAGTTTTTTCTTATAATACCCTCTGTGTCCCCCCTTAGGATATCAGTGCAATGGAGGAAGAAAAAGATCAGCTCATTAAGAGAGTTGAACGTTTGAAGAAAAGGGTAAGGCTAGAATGCACACTGTAAGACTGGCCCCAGCCCCAAGGACTTGCCAAGGCTGAGGAATGCAAACAGAGATGAAGTCAGGCATGGTGTCCATCTGCAGATGGGCACGGATAACTTGACGGAAAGGCAATCTCCCTGGGCAGCAGCCCAGCACTTTCAAGGAGCTGGACGCCAGAATTGGGCTGTCGGCTCTGCTCTAGGAGGACCGTGCACCCAAGGGTGGGAAAGTGGGTGCCTGTGTCACGGGACGTGTGGCTCTTCCTCTCACCTGACGATACTGTGCACCCCTTGTTCCTCTACTGTAGGTGGAGACCGTTCAGAACCATCAGCGAATGCTTAAAATAGCAAGGCAACTTCGAGTTGAAAAGGAGAGAGAAGAATTTCTTGGACAGCAGAAACAAGAACAAAAGAATCAGGTATCTAGAGAAATAGTTCCTTTGATAATTCAAATGTGAAGAATCAAGAATTTTGGAATTAAGTTTTTTTGGTGACATCAACAGCAACAATATCACATTTAGAATTGTGTACTCTGTCTCTATTTTCCACTGCTTTTTTCATAGGTCTAGTTTGTATTGTCCCAACTAAATGTATTTCTCCAAGGTTCATTTTAGTGTTCTACGGTAAGAGTAACTATGAATAAGACATCTAGACTCTCTAAAGGGCTTACTGATATTTTGGAGTACGGCAATACACTTTTTATTTCACTGGTCACCAAAAACCCATTATGATGATGATGATGTAAATTCAGACTTAAGAGCTCTGGTGGCCTAGTGGTAAGGAGCTGCACTGCCACCCTAAAGGCACGCAGCTTGAATCCACCAGCTACTCTGAGAGAGAAAGATGGGTAACCCCTCAGGTGTTTTCCTGCCTCTGTATACAGGTTCTGTGTGGACACAGTTGAGTGCTGGATTCCTCACTACTCACCTTGTGTCCGTACTCTGCTGTGACCCATACAATGGAATGTCTTTCCATAGTGAGTGACACGCAGTACACATCTGTCTGGTATTCTCCGCTTTCAGCCAGAACTCATCTGACAGCAGCAGTGATGTCCCTTGTTCCATCTTCTCATCTACGTTTGACTTGAATTTTTGGTAGTTTCCTGCTGATCTTCTGCTGGAACCGTTTTTAAATCATTTTGAGCGTCACTTTTCCATGAGGTGATAATTAATGATGTTGTTTGATCATTTCCACATTCTTTCAGATTACCTTCCTTTGCAATTTGTACACATAATGTATCTCTTCTCATGGATTGGTCAGGTAGCTGTCTTCCAGTGTTCTTGACTGTTGTTGTGTGCTGTGGAGTCAGAACTGACCCATAGCTGGTTCCTCGGCGGGTTTTCAGAGGCAGTTTAATCGCACGAGAGGAGATTGCCCATTCTTCTCCCATGGAGCAGCTGGTGGATTTGAACCAAGTGCCTTCAGGATTACAACCTGTTTTTTTACTAGATAAGTGAATATTTACAGCCATGCCTTCATTATTTGAAATATCTCAATTGGTGTTTTTTTAATTCTTGGAGCCTTGGGGTTTTTTGATCATGGTTTTCAGTGCAACTTGGAGTTCTTCCTTTAAAACCATCAGTTCTTGATCATATGCTACTTCCTGAGTTGTTTGAATGTCAGCCAGTTCTTTTTGCTACAGTGACTATGTATTCCTTCCATTTCCTTTGATGCAATTATTTTAGGTTTTCTCTTTTTATTGTGATTTGAGAGAAAGTTGAACCTCTGTCTTCTCATTGCCTCTTCATCAGTCACGGTATTGTGACTCAAGGCTTTATTACTTGTCTTCAGTTCTTTCAGCTTGAGAAATGACCGGAATGTTTTTCCCTTTGCAGTCTCCTTTGTTCAGTTCTTTTACCTCATTGTCTCCTTCCTTTACTTTAGCAACTTTAATTCGATAGCGCGTTTCAGAGTCTCTTCTGACTCCTGGTTTTGGTTGTTTCTTTTTAAAGCCCCTTTGTTTTCTTCATGTGTGATGTCTTTGATCTCTTCCCACAACTTGTCTGGTCTTTGGTCATTAGTGTTCAGGGTGTGTAATCTGTATTTGAGATGGTCTCTAAATTCTAATGGGAAACACTCAAGGTCATCCTTTATCTTTCATCAACTTCTTTTCATTTTATTCAGCCTGAACTTGAACCTGTGTAGGAGCAATTGGTTAGTTCTGCATTTGGCTCTTGACTTTGTTCTGAGTGATGATGTTGCTGGCTTCGTCATAGCTCCCCACAGTCCAGTCAGTTTCCTTCCATTCCACCATTCATGTTACTGGACAGGATATTTCCAGTGAGGAGGTCACTGAGCTTGCGCGGTTCTGTTGTGTTGTTTCTGACGTTTTTTCTGTATCATCAAGGCCATGCTTCCCACTCCTCCTCCTGAGTTTCCAGCTTTCACATTTCAGTCACCAGTGATTACTGGTGCTTTGTGATCATGTACTTGGTCAGTCTCATACCACAGAAGTTAGTTTTAAAAATCTTCCGTTTCTTGAACTCTGTCCTTAGTGGCTGGTATTGTATGAACTCTGCTTCCTTGTGGGCATGTGGCTATTATCCCAGCAGCAGAAGCGGTGACCGCGACAGCATTCTCTTCAGTTTGTCATTCCTGACCTAGTTGTTGTGCTTGTGTTGATTTGGAGCCAAGTCACAGATGATCGAGGAGCAAGTCACACGGGAGAAGACTGCCCATCCTTCTCCCATGGACCAACTAGAAGATTTGAACCCCCTGCCTTTGGGATGATAGTGCACGTCCTTACAGCCAGGCCACCAATTGTCTGATTCACAATGACCAGTAGCAGTTTGTTTCAGCTCATAAGTGCCTAGAATGTTGATCTGCAAGCATTCTGTTTAAATTTTAACAACTTCCAGTTTTTCTCATTTTTAGTTCACAATTTAGAGATGACATTCATGAGGATGTTTATATTCTTTAGAATGAAGAAAATTGTAATAATGTTAATGTATTTATTTAGTAAATACTTTTCCTTGATTACCGAATTCCACTAGCTACTGAAAGAAAATTGTAGAAGGTTTGTTTTTTTTACCTTTTATACGAAATAGTACTAAGAGAGCCAGTTGATTTTCTGAGTTGCTGCTGCTAGTTCCTTTTCTAGCGTGAGAATTCCATGGAACGTGTCGAGACTAACCAAACACTGGGTTTGCTTGTGTCTTGAAGCTCTTCCATGCAGTGCAGAGACTGCAGAGGGTCCAAAACCAGCTGAAAAGTATGCGCCACGCGGCAGCAGACGCAAAACCTGAAAGTAAGTGGGAACTGTTACATGCGAGAACGTTTGGACAAATGAATGATTTGCGGTGTGTTGTATTCTTTTCAATCGGAGTCTTCCTGAGAGCGGTCAGGTGGTGGAATGGATTCTCGTCAGGTGATGCCGGTGTTCTGGAATCCTCTCTCACTGGTGAACAGCTCGAGGGACGGCTCAGTCCATAGGGAGCTGCACTGCCGACCCCAGGGCTGAGCCTCTGGCCATTTATATCACCAGTGGCTTCTTGGAAGAAAGCTGGGCAATCTCCTTGGTGTGTGATTTAGAGCCTCACAAACCCCTGGGAGCGTCAGCTCTGAGTCAGTTCAGAACTAACAGCCGTGAGAGGGTGAACTGGTGAATGAGGAGTGGAAGGGAGATATCCTTGGGTTTTCACTTGTGCTTTGAAAAATCCCTGGTCAGCTTTTCAGCCAGAGAGTCAAGATAAGTGATTCCCACAGTAGGAGGAGACTGTCTGGTGTGGCGGTGTCCTGAAATGCATAGGGCGGCTGCTGTGCAAAAGAGACAGGAGGAGACAGGAATCATTCTTTAGAGTCAGGGTTAGAAGGAGAAAGCATGAAGTGCTGCACTGTTAGAACTGAGTGTCTTACATATTTGGGGCTGTAAATAGTGGTGCTAAATGGTGTGGCTATCCCTACTGTTCTCACACCAGCTTTACACGGGATAAACCGTTCTTATGTCCTGGATTTTACCAGCAATCCCCTGTTCGACTTTTCAGAAGGGAGACTGCGAACTCAAAGAGCACCGCAAAGATTGTGCTTGTGCTGGGGAAATATTCTGACGTAAGGATGCAGCAGAGTGAGCGTGAATGCGTCTTTCTGTTGTAGTACACCGGTGTCGTAAGATGCGGTACCCAGAATGATACACGTCAGTACATAAGCAACTGCAAGTGTGGTGAGATTGTAGAGAAGCTGAAACCATCCTGTATTGCTGGTGGAAATGTAGAATGGTTGGAGTGGTGTGGAAAACAGTCCGGCAGTTCCTCAGAATGTTAAACATTTGGTCCAGGAATTCCATTCCTGGACACATACTCAAGAGAAACGAAAGCCTATCTCCAGACAATCATTTGTACTTGTGTTTGTAGTGGCCTTGTTTCTAATAGCCAAAACATAGAAATAAGGACAGTCTATTCAAGCAATGAAATATTTGTAGCCATTCAAAAGGAATTAAGTTCTCATAATTGCTACAACGTGCATAAACCTAAAAATAAACAACCCCATAATGTGAATGAAAAATAAGTCACAAGGATTTCCTCTTACATGATCCTGTATTCAGAATAAGTGAGTCTGTAAAGACTAAAATCAGGTTTGTGATTGTCTAGGGAGGAGATGAGATTCCTGGTGGAAAATTGGTCCAAGAACTTGGCTGCTAGCCACAAGGCCAGCAGTTCAAACCCACTAGCTGTTATGCTGGAGAAAGACGGGACAATCTACTTCTGTCACGAGGCCCAGCCTTGGAAACCTTGAGAGCAGTTCTCTGTATTACGGGGTCACAGTGAGGCAGACCTTGATGGCTGTGGATTTAGGAACGTCGAGGACAAGGGGAGGTGGCGGTAGGGGAAGGTGGGGAAGAAGTATCTAAAATCAGGTTCCAGCAGTGATTGCACCTGGGGTCTCTGTGGGTCAGAATCCACGCAGCACCGAGACCCAGCAGCCGCAGATGCTCAACGCTGTCAATGCGGAAGACCATTGAATGACGCACTGAACGGTACACCGTATGGGCATGCCAACTACGTCTCAATAAAACGGTTAACTATTGCCCTGACGCTTCCCATTTTCCCTAGTATACGGATTTTTTGCAATGGAATTAAGCTTAAAATTTATATGTACATAAGATGGCATTTGTAATTTTGTTGATTTATGGTTCAGTCTTAGAGTTAGGGTCAAGGAAATACGGTATAGTTAAAAGATGTTTTAGAAGCCATTTCAGGTTCCCTGGAATGCAGCCTGTCTCACATTCATCCCAGCTGCTGACCAGTGAGCCCAGAGGTGCCTCCCCGGAAGGGCCAGGCCGTCTGCTTTAGAAAATCGGTCCTTGAGAGTGTGGGGCCTGTTTGTGCTCTGACCCAGGAGTGACAGCGGGGCCAGAATTTACTGGGATGGCAGCTGGTTTTGTTTTACATTCCACTCTAACATCTAAACAGAATACCCATCAATATTTACAGTGAGAGTAATTTTTCATTTTTATTTGAATTGATAGATTTTTATTTTACTTTGACTTTTGTTTCTAGCCTAATTAGAAATGTTCCAACCAGGATATACATAATCCTTTATTTAGTGATACAGTGCACAAATGGGTTTGTTCTGTTTTGACGTCTCTTAGCATGTTGACTTAAAATATAAATATTATACTGAAAATAGATATTGTTAAACAGTGAAGTTAGCGGCTTTATTAAATAGTAGTTGAAATAATTGGCCTAGAGCCAGTAATCCATTCATTCCATGCAGTACCTGTCAGATTCTGTGCTGACCCAGCAGTGTGATGAGTACAGGAAGTCTGCTGTTCCTGGGACATCCAGTACTAACCAGAAGGTCAGCAGTTCGCACCCAGCAGCCACCCTGCAGGAGAGGATGAGGCAGTCGGCGTCAGTAAAATCACCGCCTTGGAAACCCTGTGCAAAAGTTCTGCTCGGTGTTCAAGTTGCTTTGAATTGAAAGTCACTGATGGCATTGGGTGTTGGGGGTTCAGGACGATGAGTGTCCTGGTGGAGCAAAGGTGGCACCAAGCTGATACCTCGTCAGATGGCTTCCTGGGGCACTGGAATCGATTCCAGTTGGAAAGGTGAAGGAGCAGTGGAAGGGCGTTCCTTGCCAAGGCGCAGTGGGCTGAGTGGACATGAGGACAGCAGCCCGAAGAGCAAGTGGTAGTGAGGAGAGAGGCTGGCTTGTGTGTGAAAGGCAGGCCCGGGAGTGTTTGTGTGAATGAACTCTGCACTGTGCCCAGGTGAGGAGGGGCACGGGGCTGCGGTGTTCCTAGGCCTGAGGGGAGCGAGGCAGTGCAGCCTGGGTGGTGGTGGAGGAAGCAGCAGCTCTCTTCCTCCTCTTGTTCTCCGTGCATTACACGGAATGTTCCACAGCAGTTACCTCCCCGCTGATTTTGGCATTTCTGACTCCACCGAGCTGTACTTTCCTAAACGTACCTGAAAGGTGTCCTCGTGACACAGTGCGTCGTGTGTAGGACTGCCACACTGAAGCTCAGAGGTTGGAAGGTAGTCAGGCTCGGGGAGAACGAGGGGAGCAGTGTCCTCACCGAGGGATTTACAGCTGAAACCCAGCGGGCTCGCCGGGAGTCGGGTTGGATCTTCAACTTCCTTGAAGGTTATCACCTTGTAATTGTTGGCCTTTGCATTTCTAGCCTCCCTTACACAGTCACTTCTACAGAGCGGACATTCAGAAGATACTCTGTTGGGAGGTGGAGTAGGAGGGTAGAGACAATCTACCTGCATAAGAAGAAAATGACCTTTTCCACAGACAGCAGGGCTGGCGATTACGATGAAATGGCTGAAAATATTGATAAAAATAAGGTAGTAGGGTGTTTTTTTTATTGTTGATTGACGTGAGTTGAGCAGAACTAATAAGGGAAGTTTCTGGGGTCGTGTTTGTTACGTGTTACTGTTCTTCCCCCCCCCCAAAGTGGGTGGCCCTTGAGCCTTTGACGAAGGGTGGAGGCCTGCTAGAGGGTGTGGCTATAATATCCATAGTGAGCCCAGCAGCCTGGGGCTTAGAATCTCGCTCCCCTCGAGGAGTTGGCCGCTAGCTAGCATCTCATGGCAGTCTCGTCTCAATGGTGGTCTCGTCTCAATGGTGGTATCGTCTCAATGGTGGTCTCATCTCAATGGTGGTCTCATCTTGATGGCTTTTGTTGTTAGACAGGAGAAATCGGGAGTTCTGCTTTGTTAACATGTTTGTGGGAAATAGGACACAGAATCACCAGAGTTGTCAGCAATAGCCTAAAAAAAGTATAAAAGTGTTAGTTTAGTTTTATAAATAAAAGACGTATTGTGATAGGAAAGTCTGCTGTTAGAGACCTTTCCAGCGTACTGAAGAGCAATGGTGTCAGTCTGGAGACTAAGGTGCGCCTGATACAGGCCATGGTCTTTGCAATCACTTGCTGTGCATCAGAGAGCTGGACAATGGCTAGGGATGATAGAGGGAGAACTGATGCCTTTGAGCTATGGTGCTGGAGAAGAGTATTGAATATATCATGGAATGAACAGATTCGACCTGGAGAGAGTAAAACCAGGCTGCTCCTTGGAGGCAAGGATTCTGAGGCTTCATCTAACATCCTTTGGACATGTTGCAAGGAGGGACCAGTCCTTGGAGAGGGACATCATGCTTGGGAGGGTGGAGGGACAGCGCAGGAGAGGAAGACCCTCGATGAGGTGGATTGATTCAGTGACTTGGGTAATGGGGGTATGTGTGTCGGAGACAGTGAGGCTCTCACAGGACAGAGCAGGGTTTAGGGCTGTTGTACGTGTCGCTATGAGTTGCAGGCGACTCGACAGCACATAACAACAACAACAACTTTTTTTTATTCATCTAAACATTGTAGGGAGAGTGTACTGATTGCCCATCTTCCTCTGTGGCGCAGCTAGTGGGTTCAAACCGAGTTCCCTGGTATCAGCAGCACGATCCCTTACTCACCAGAGCTCCAGTCTCATTTTAAAAAATGATAATTTACATGAAAGTTTATAGAGAAAATGTGTTTTCCATTCAAGAGTCGACACACTTGTTGTATGATTTCCCTGGGAGAGTTGACACACGTCTGCTGTATGATGCTGACTGCAGTCCTTACACTGTAAGCACAGGCTGCTGTTTCCTTAATGGAAATGTTTACTGTTTCCTCTAAGTCTCTTCCCTTTCCTCTCTGCCCTTTTAATGTCTTGTTTGACTGACTGGTGTGATGAGTGCATACCTCGCAGGTGTTATTGTTCTAACTTTTTAAGTTAAAAAATGGCTTCCAAAAGTTTCTTACTAAACTGAATAACAAAAAGTATCCTTAATGTTGTTGTGTACTGTCGGGTCAGAGCTGACCGCTAGCTGATCCTCCAGTGGGTTCTCAGAGGCAGTCTCACCACACAGGAGGAGACTCCATCTTTCTCCCGGAGCAGCTGGTAGACCTGAACCACCAGCCTTCAGGATTGCAGTGCACTTTCTTTCCACTAGGCCACCAGAGCTGGAGTGTCATTTTAATTTTTGCAGAATGGCAGCCGTATAAAATCTGGATCGTTTACTTCATTCACTCGAGTCGATTCATCCTTACATTGTCTGCATTAGTGAGATTTATTACACGGAAGTCATCACTTGGTTAGATTAGTGAGTAGTTTTCAGAGGGTTTTTAATCTAAAAATGTGCTGAAATTTTTAGTGATCTGATTTCATGTCAATGTTTTCCTTTCACTAGGGTTTTTAAAATGAAAACAAATTTACCAAGAAACATAAAGTCTAAGTTAAATTACACACGAGAACAATTTTAAAATTTGATGGACACCTTTTATGATTTTCAAATAACAGCTTTGTTGTACCAGAATTGACGTGTAATACAGTAGGTGTCTATTCTGCGAGCACCACGGCTCACTTTTGATGTGGATGTTCACTTGGAAACCATCCCCTAATCACAGGACGGAGCACACCCACTGCCCCCACGTGTCTCCTTGGGCCACTTGTCATTTTTCACTTGTACCCTGTCCGTCCTCCTCATCTTCCAGCAGCCCCTCATCTGTTTTTCTGTCACTACAGATTATTACTTTGCAGTTTCCAAAATTCAGAACTTTGTTTTAATAGAGAAAAATATTATTTAGGAATTTTAAACCTTGAAGAGCATTTAGGCTTTGATTCTGTGCATTTCTGATTGTGTGTGGAATGACTGAGAATTGGAAGGCAGGAAAGCTGTAATCTAACAGCCGGAGAAGCCAGGAAGGAGATTCCGCAGAACACTGCTTGAGAACTCCTGCCTGGTTACAGTCAGTCTCTGCACTCTCTTCTTTCCCACATCTTAGAAAAAGAGGAAGTTAAACGGATGAGTAGAAAACTTGGGAATTTGACATTGGTAAAGTTTTGCATAGTTAAGATATGGTTAGCACAAAGAACTAAAAATAACGTTAAAGCTAAAAATAATACTTAGGCCAGTATTATGCAATTTACTTACATAGATTACCTAAACTGGAAGCCTGTTGTTTTTAAAAGTCAAGCCAGAATTGTGAATGTGTAATGGAAAGATCTAGAGTAAACTTTTTAAAGCTCTCAAGGCTGGGAATTTATAATAAAACCATTCACCAAAGTGTGTGTGTGTGTGTGTGTGTGTGTGTGTGTGTGTGTGTGTACTTACTTGACCAAAATAAGAAAACTGTTAAATCTTAGAAACATGTTGCCACTTAACTGTAAACTAATAACTTTACAAAATTTAAAAAAAATCTGTTCAAATAACAAAAACTTACAGTATTTATGAATATGAATATGGTTAATGGCTCTCTTCCAGGTCTTAGCTGATGGTTTTAGTAGTAATGTCTTCACTCATTTGAATGTGACATTTTAATGCATTCCCATTTATGAAATATTGAAGTATAATGGCATCAGAAATGTTATAAAAGAGAAAGACCAAATGATTACTTTCTTCTGTGAGAGCGAGCTTAGGTTTGATTTCATTTGAGTGTTGTCATTTAGTTCATGGATTTCTTTTTTTTTTTTTTTTTTTTGTTCTTGGATTTCTTAAATAATTAAAAGATAAAATATCTATCTGACCTGAAAATGTTATTTTTCTAGATTGTGAGATGGTAAAAGAATTAGGCTGTAATTTTGAAAAGTTGTATCACTTTTTGCGATAATTACTTAAATACCCTTACATACTCATTCTTTAATTTACTTCTTTATTTTCACCTATCAAAACATTTCCGTGTCCAGTATGTTACTTACTGGACTGTTCTAAATAATACCAAAATTCTGTAGGTGAATGTGGCTTCTGTTTGTGTCATAATTTAAGACAGTGCTTTTGTGCAGAAGACCCTTTTACCCCACACTTTTCTGAGTATTCGTTGAATATTTTGTTTTTTAAGGCTTAATGAAGAGGCTAGAGGAGGAGATAAAGTTTAATTCATACATAGTAACTGAAAAATTTCCCAAGGAGTTAGAAAACAAGAAAAAAGAATTGCATTTTTTACAAAAAGTGGTTTCAGAGCCAGCGATGGGCCATTCTGATCTTCTTGAACTTGAATCTAAGGTACGTAAGTTACGATCAGCTACTTTCTACATCTCCCAATGTTATCTCATTCTCAGTTGTTACAAGTGCATGAACTCTTTTCTACAGTGGGCAGTCTTGAATCTCTTTAACTTGTCGAGAGTGACAACTTTCTGGGTGAGGGATTGTGGAATGTGACGTTGTTATTGAATTGCACAAGAGCTTAGCAAAGCTTAATCTTTTCAAAGAATAGAACATACTGAAAGCTTGTGATTTTTTTAAACTCTTATTTATCAAGGACTTATATTTTCTTTTTATTTTAGTCAGTTTTAGTCTACTACCTTTTTGAGGGTTTATATGAGTATTAGGGGTAAAAGACATTAAAAATGGCAAATCATTGGCTCAGGGAAGGTCTTAAGATGCAGTCCTGTCTCCTCCTAGCGGGGCTCATGAAGTCCAGTGACTTAATCCCTGGGACAGCTTTAACACTGTTTATTTTTACACCGTTTTAGATAAATGAAATAAATGCAGAAATCAATCAGCTGATTGAAAAGAAAATGATGAGAAATGAGCCAATTGAAGGCAAACTCTCACTTTATCGGCAGCAGGTAAGAGCACTCCTTGTAATCTTGTAGGTAGATGTACGTCTCTGTCGAAACCGCAGGCTGTGTTATCTGAAGCCTTAAACGTGAGCAGGAAATAAGGAATCAATGCCCCTCTGTCATTGCTAATCTCCCGATGACAGTGAAGCATTTGTGGAAAAGCCACCAAAGACGCATGTTCACGTGTGAAATGCAGTCCGCCTGATAAGGCTTCGTTTCTTTACACTGCCAGCTCCAGTGATAAAGTTGTTCATTTTGCATGAGTGTGGAGTTTCGTTTTTAAAGTGATAGCCTGCGTGTTCCTGTTAAGTCTCATTGGGTGGATGCCCACTGCGGAAGCCCTGTCAGGAAACCACTCCAGAAAGTTCTCAATGCTGCAACCCTTTGGACCCAGCTCTCCAGGCCTGTCTCCTGAAGCACCTCTAAGTGGGTTCAAACCAGAAACCTTGTGGCTAGTAATCATGTGCTTTCTCATTTAGTCTACCTGGGCTACCCAGTCTATCCATCTTAGCTTCCTTATGTGATATAAATAAAATATTTATCATCTTAACTAACTAAAGGGTAGTATAACTGTTAAGGTTTAAGATTATGTAAAAGGAATGAAATGTTAGTATTAATGTGGTTTTTACCTTGAACACGACTGTTTTGTCGTTGAAGCAGCAGCTCTGGTAGTGTGTGGCTAAGGCATTTATTTGGCTGGTCGGCAGAAGGCTCAGATTGAAACCCCCCGTCAGTGAGCAGAGCTGTGCCACCTGCTGCTGTGAGGATGGACGGCCTGGAGACCCTCCTGGGCACTTCTGCTCTCTGCTCCGCTGCTCTTGTTCAGAAGGCCGCGGGCGGCAGTGGGCGTTAGGCTGTGAGCACTTACGTGCAGTTTTGGATTTCTAGACAAAAAATGTAAGTGAAAGCCATGGCATATCTGAAAAGAATCCAACCAAGAGGCGTTTCTTGCGAAGAGCATTCTATAGTCTACATACCAGCATTATTCAAGGACACTATGACTTTTAAAAGCCTTTATCATTGGAATGATGAAACATATACAGAGGGAAAGAAAACCGTAAACCCTCCTGCGTCCCTGAGCTGCGGACACTGTTCTCTTCTTGATTCCCCTTACCCACACCCACACGCACACCCAGATTATTTTCAATCACATCTCAGACTTTATGCTATTTCATCCATAAAGATTTCAGCATCTATCTCTAAAAGACAAAGATTATAACAACTTAACAGTAAAGACATGCCACATTGAAAACTGTAATGATTCTTAAATGTCAGAAAATACCCCATCTGTGTGTGTGTGTGTGTGTGTGTGTGTGTGTGTGTGTGTGTGTGTGTGTGGACTTGATTTGAGGCAGAATCCGTTCAGGATTCAGACACTGTGTTTGGTTGTTGTACTTGCAGTTCTTTTAATCTGGATATTCTCCTTCTTCTTGAGCAATAGCTTAGAGTTTACTGATTGAAGAACCTGGCCGTTTGTCCTAAAGCCTTCCCTGTGTTGAAAACGGTCCACTCCACTGTCTCTTGTATTGCCCAAGTATTTGAACTAGAAGCTGATTTCATTTCCATTTGAATAACAGCTATTTTATTTCCTTTTTCAGTGATTAATTGCTTCATCTCTGTACTACATGTTTTTCTGAGGGTTATGAACCTTTTTTTGAAAACAGAAAAAAAAACCAACCCCAAACCAAACAACTCTGGATATCAAGAATATTTCGCTTATAAATTTTAATATTCCTTTATCTAAAATTATAATTTGTCTTTTAACTTTGATTGTAGTGTTATTTTTACTTTGGGATGGTTATTAATTGAAAGGTTTTCCCTACTTTTATACTGGGGAAGAATTTGCTTAGTCTTTTAAGTGTTTGCCTTTGTGTCAGTATTTTCCTGATATAAGGATAATTTTCTCTAGTGAAGCAGTTCCATGTGGCTGTCGAGTTGTTCGAATATCAATAGTAAACATTTCATTTCCCCCCAACACATTTGAGATTCTACCTTCTATTCCATTTCCAAGGTGTATTAGATTGACTTCTGAGTTTGCTAGTCTATTTCCATGACCTGTCATGTACCTGCACCAGCTGTTCTGTAGGAACTTTAGAATCAAGCTCTCCTATCTGGAGGCTAACTCCACTCTCAGGTACTTTACTTTTTCTGACTGCTTTTCTATATATACTCTTCCAAGTAAATTTTATTATCAACTTACCTAGTTCTAAGGGGGAAGAAAAGCAATTTTAAAAATTACTGGGTTGCGCTCTATCGATTCGTTCTGAATTGACATCTTAGGGTGGCAGCCTTCCTGTCTAAGAACACGGTTTGCCTTTCCACTTGTTTTAGGTTTGCTTTGTTGTGTCTTTTGTTGTTCTTGTGTGCCATCTAGTCAGAACCGACTCATAGGGTGTTTAGTGATATTCCTTAGGAAGGTGTAGAAATTGCTTGTTAAATTTGTTCTTATATATTTTCTTAATTTATTCATACAAATTCAAGCTTTTCTTAAAATAAAAAAGTAAATGAAGTCTTTTCCTGTATTTCTGGTAACTGACTTTGTTTTTCTGTGAAACTCTTCATTTGCTGCAGATTTTCCATTGACTCCTTTGGTTTTTAGATCTATAATTGGACAAGTCTGAAAGGTCTTGTTTCCTTCCTATTTCCATCTTGGTCGCTTTCTCATCTAACGGTGCAGAGCATGAGATTACTTGCCTGTGTGTGGCCTTTGTCTTCATGGTCTTATAACTCCTTAAAATAACTGTGTGGCACTCAGCAGATAGGGTGCTCTGGTGGCTAAGTGGTAAGAAGTTGCTCTGCCGAACTAAAGGTATGCAGTTCAAATCCACCAGCTGCTCCACGAGACAAAGATGAATCGTCGTCTTCCGTGTGTTTACGCCTCGGAAAACCTGCTGGAGGCTCAGCTATGAGTTGATGCCAGCTTGGTGCATAACAGCAACAGTCACATGCAGATAAGGTCGCTGTGGCCCACTGCGGACTGGACAGCTTAGTAATGCTTCAAATAAGACACCTGTCATCCTTGGCAGGGGGTTGTGGTTATGTGCCACTGAGTCAGCTACAAGGCTTCGCACCTCTTTGGATGACAGGAACCTTGTTCCCCTTTCCTGTGTCATCCTCTCAATCTCCACCATACTGCAGCCCCTTTACAGTCCACCTCCTCCAAGATCTTTCTCGAATCCCCAGCTTGTGCCAGCATGATGGCTTTTCCCGGGGTTTAGCCCCTACTGATAATATGACCCAGGTATGTGAGACCAAGGTTTGACTTCCTTGCTTCTTTTTTTTAATAATTTTAATGAAAATTTAGAGACTTTGGATTTCCATTCATTCATTGTTGCACTTTTCTACCTTCCTTCCTTCTAAGGAGTGCCCTCAGGTTGCACAGACAACACTTGTTTGTCCTTTTGTCCGTCCTGACACCATTATTCAGAGACATACGTTCTTCTGTCCCTTTATTCATTCTTCAACTTTCAGATGCACAGGAAACAATTGAAAAAACTTTGGCTTGGAACTTTAAATAGACATCTTTGCTCTTTAGCCCTTTGGAGAGGTTCTTGACGGCAGATTTTCCCAAAGGACCACATTTTTTATTTATTGACTGCTATTACTATGTGTGTTAATCCAAGTAAAATGAACTTGTTGACAGCTTCGATCTCTTCTCCATCTATCATGATATTGCCTTTTGGTCCAGGGGTGAGGATTTTTGTTTTCTTGATGTTGAATTGTAATCCTTATTGAATATTATAGTCTTTGATCTTCTGCAGTAAGTACTCCAAGTCTTCACTTTCTGTGAGCAAAGTTACATCACCTGCATAGGATAGGTTATTGATAAGACTTCCTTCAATTCTGATGCCACATTGCTCTCTATAGAGCCCAGCTTCTTGGGTTATCTACTCTGTATGCATATTAATGAGTGTGGAGAAAAGATAAACCCTGATACACACCTCTTCATGCAGTGTTTCCTTGCTATATTCAGACAATTCTTCTTGACCTTCTGTACAGCAGTACTTACCAAAACAGCATGATGTTGGTACAACAGCTGCATAAGCCAATGGAATAGAATTGAGGACCAACAAATCAATTTCTTGATTATTACTAGATAAGGAAACAAAACCTATCAAATGGGGAAATTATACCCTTTTCAACAAATGGTGCTAGAAAATTGGACATCTAGTTAATGATTGGCTTAACCAGTTAAGCCAATTCCAGATAAAGAAATCAAAGTAGCAATCCGAATAGTCTGACATGTGTGGATTTCAGAACTAAGAAGCCAACACCATAAATTCACACAAGTCAGAGTGTTCTGATTACTAATGACTTTGTTTTACATGCCAGTCATCTTGCCTACCTTGTCTTTGTCACGTAAGTGCTGCTGCTCGGGCCCTACCACCATGGGGTCTAATCAGTGCCATTGCAGGTGGACATCTTAACTTAGAGCAATTCTCACTGTCACGTCTGGCTTATGTGATAATAATCACCGTAGTTTTCAAGGATGCTAGAACTCCATTCACGAATGTGTTTTCACTGTTGTGGTGAAAGGTATGACCTCTGAGCATTCCGTGCATGTGTCTGACCTAATAAATCTCCTCTAACATAAAAAAAAAAGAAAGAAAATTGGACATCTGCCTTTAAGAAAATAGAAACCATCTCACAGGGGAGCTCTGGTGGCCTAGTGGCAAGGAGCTGCAACTACAATCCCAGAGGCGCACAGTTCAAATCCACCAGATGCTCTCCCGGGGAAGGAGGGACAATCTCCTCCTGTACCAGTCAGATCTGATTTGACGGTACACGCACACAAAAATAATAAAATAAAATTAAAAAAAAAAAAGAAACCATCTCACATCATACACAAAAACCAACTCAAAGGGAGCTCTGGTGGCCTAGTGGCAAGAAGCTGCACTGCAGTCCCAGAGGTGCATGGTTCGAATCCACCAGAGGCTCTGCTGGAGAAGGAGGGAAAATCTCCAGTACCAGTCAGATCTGATTTGACGGTACACACACACACACACACACACACAAATAAGTAATAAAATTAAATATATTAAAAAAGAAAACAACAACCCATCTCAAGGTGGATCAGAGACTAGGGATAAAACCCCAAACCATAAAGACCACAGAGATAAAATGGAACCAAACATAGAAGCCCTAGCCTGTGACATAAATTGTTGTGGTGGTGTTATTAAGTGCCATTGAATCTTAGATGACTCATAAAGACCCTATGAACAAAAGACCTGAACACTTGTATAACTTCTATCATTTTTTCAAGGTCATAGAGTTTCTAGAGGTAAGCTATTTCCAAAGTGGATGCCACTCCTGCTTCCAAGCTTGTTTTAATTGGGGAACGCCACCATTATCACATTTGACACATCAGTGTCACAGGATTTAGCATCACAGCAACCATGAGTTACCTCTGTACAGCCAATGGACAGACCAGTGCTTTACCACTTAGAAGAATGTTTGACCAAAACCGATTAAACCCAGGCCCAGGGCTGCAGATTACAATTGCCCACCTTTGGCTTGGTAGCATAATTTTCTATCCACTAGGCCAACAGAGCTCTCTCTGTTGTTGTTAAGTGCTGTCTAGTCGTTGATGACTCATAGCGACCCTATGAAAAAAGATCTGAACACTGGTATAACTGTCATTGTTTCTCCAAGTTCATAGAGTTTACAGAGGCAGGCTATAAATAGTGGCATAAATAGACTTGGAAATATAGCTAAAATGTAGAACCAAGAGAGGATAAAATCAACAAAAGGGGCCTTCTGAGAATCCGATGCCTGTGTACTTCAAAAGCTTTTTCCAGTCGGGTAAAAAGAAAGCTCACAGACTGTGAAAAAACATTTGGCAGTGATATTTCAGGCGAGGATTTCATATCTAAAGTGTCCAGAACACACTACGGCAGGACTGACAACCAAATCACAAAATGGTCCAAAGATAAGAAGAAGACTTCACAAAGAAGGATATTCGGATGACAGCAGACACACAAAGAAATGCTCAAAATCACTGGCAGTCAGAGAGATTGCATATCAAAACCACAAGGAGACAACATCTCACCGCAGGAGCAGTGACAGAGTTTAACAGGACATCAAGCAAGAAATGCTGGAGAGGGTGTGAAGAGATTGGAACTCTCGTGCATTGCTGGTGGGATTGTAAAATGAAACAGCCACTGTGAAAGACAGTTTGACATTTCCTCAACTAGATGAACATCAAAATTACATCTGACTCAGCTAGTCCACCACGAGGAGTAGACTGTGAGGAAAATAGACGTGAGACTTACACAGAGGTTCGTACAAGTATGTTCTCAGCACCGTTATTGACAATAGCAAGAACATGGAAACAGCCCATCTGCCCATCAACAGGTAAATGGACTGGCAAATGGAGGTGCTTTCAGACAATGGAATGCTGTGCAGCCCTAAAAAACAACGATTTCATAAAATAGTGTATAACAGTGTAGTCTAGAGAGCATTGTGTTGAATGAAATAACCCGATCACATAAGGACAAATACCATAAAACTTACAAAACTAGACTAACGGAGCAAGAGGTACGGTATCAGTGTTCAAAGGGTGAAGGGGAAGAGAGGCAGGAAAAGGAGCAAGGAGAGATCGCTGGGCTAGCAGAGGTTAGCAGGCGAACGGAAGGGGCGACTCCATGGACTTTGAAAAGAGGGGCATGGTGGGCATAGATCACTATAGTTCATTCTGTAAAATACAGTGTACTTGAACGAAACACAATGCAACCCAAATTTTTTTTTTTTTTAAAATAAGCTATTTAAGAAAAGAATTTTTGGTAGAACTAGTCTTCTCATTAACTATCTTTTTTTCTTCCAAGAAAGTCTTAAAAGACAATAGGATTTTTTCAGAGAGTTGGCACTGGAGATATTTTTTTCTCTCTCTTTTGTCACATTTCCATGAGAAGAATCTACTCTCTGACTGAAGAAAACCAGTTGACTCTCTTCCTTAAACCAGGCGGGCCTAGTCCCTTTGAGGAAGTGCTGGGAACTGCTGCTGTGGTTTCCGGGGCAGCCAGGCTGATGCCCGTCCCCCGCGTGACAGAATCGAGCTTCCCTGCTGGGTTCTGTTGGCTGAGTCTTCACAGGGTAGATGGTCAGGTCACGCCTGCAGGGCTGCGGCGGAGTGGACGCACCGTCCTTTCAGTTACCACCAAGTGTGTAAGCACTGCCAGTGAGCCTCCTTCCCGTGTAGTGCTGTCTTTTGGCGGAGCCCGTGCTGAGCTTGTGTGAATATTTGCCTGATTCTCGTGAGCTAAATGCTTGCTATTGAACCTATGTTTTGTTTATCAGAATGTCCCAAAATTGGTAGCAGTTTTTATATTTCATTTTAAAAGTATGCTTTATTTACTTAAAAAACTACCCATGGTTTATACTCCCTTCCACTTTGAGGCTCTGGTGGCCTAGTGGTTAAGAGGCTACATGGCAGTCTCAAAGACATGCGGTTCCAGTCCACCAGCTGCTCTGTAGGAGAAGGATGGCCAGTCTCCTCCCGTGTGATATGCTGCCTCTGAAAACCCACGGCAGGGTCAGCTGTGGTCAGTTCTGACTCAACACAGCAACAGTACGAGAAGGGATCTTACTATAAGTACTTCATAAAACAACACTACTGTAAGGGCTCTCTGGTGGCTTAGTGGTAAGGAATAGTGCTGCCAACCCCGAGGCAAGCAGGTTCAAATCCACCAGCTGCTCCACTTTCTAGACAAAGATGAACAGTCCCCTCCCTTACAGTTAAATGCCTCTGGAAACCTGCTGGAGGGTCACCTATGTGCACGTTTGGACTGACAATGAAAAACCTGTAGTGAGAATAAAACATTTTTGTTTCCTTCCAGTGACCATTGTGCAGAACAATAGACTTAGTAGTAACTACTGTTTACTTACCTAGTCTGTTTTCCTTAGCATTTCAGTGTTAATTGACATAACTGGAAAGGCACTCTGGTAGCTTGGTGGTTAAAGCTTGCAGCTGCTAACCCACATGTTGCCAGGCCACATCACCTGCTGCTGCTGAGGTGCAACGGCCAGCGTCTGGGAGCATTTTCAGTCGTGGAAACCCCGTGGCATAGTTCTGCTGTTCCCTGCGCGGTTGTTAGGAGCACAATCACCAGTGGGACAGTCCCTGAGTTTCTGTAAGACTTTGTTGTTTCTCTCCTGATAAGACCTGCATCTTCAGGACTGTGGCCTCCCCCAGTGTATGCAGGTGGTTGTTTCAGATGGTCTCTGCGATCACCCCAGATCTGTGAGGAAGGAGCAGTGCTCAGGGGGTCCCCTGGGGTTGTACAGTGAGTAGGATCCAAGATAGGGAGAACTGAAGACAGGTGATTTGATGTGACCTTTTACTTTTCTATTTAATGATCCATTAGGCGTCCATCATTTCTCGAAAGAAAGAAGCCAAAGCTGAGGAACTTCAGGAGGCCAAGGAGAAGTTAGCAAGCCTCGAGAGAGAGGCGTCTTTGAAAACGGATCAGACCCGAGAGTTTGACGGTGCTGAGGTTGTGAAAGGAGAGGAGGTGAGTTGACATGTCGCCTGGAACCAGGTGTGAGGTGTCTTTTTTGTTTGTTTATTTTAATGAAAGTTTACAGAGACTTTGGATTTCCATTCATTCATTGTTGCACTTTTCTCCCTGTCCCCTCGCCCCCCAGTTCACTCTTCTCTTTGAAAAGTAAAAGAAAAATTCTTTCATTGTTATACAATCCTTCCCCCCAGGTCCACTCCACTATGTAACCTTTGTTCTGGACTCATGTCATGACAATAATACCTAATCATATAACCCTTTAAACAGTTCTCTCCCTCATCTATTTCAATGCAGAATACATTATTTATTCCATCTTTCTCAGTCTTCCTCCAAACCTGATGTCAGTCCTGTTTTACAACTGTGGCACTATGCAGTATTTGTCCTTTTGTGACTGAGATACTTCGCTCAGCATAATGTCCTCCAGGCTCGCCCATTTTGCGTAATATTTCATGAGTTCCTTGTTTTTCAGTGCTGCATAGTATTCCATTGTGTGATTATACCACAGCTTCTCTATCCATGTATTTGTTAATGGGGAGCCATGTCTTTGTTAAAAAAATGTGTTCAGCTTCCTTGGTTGGAAGTTAATCTTATTTTAGACAAAACAGAAAAAGAAAAATGTTGATGGCAGAGACCTTGTTGCTTTTATGAGATAATGTTCCAGTCTTTTACCTTTTAATGAAGTGGATTTATATTGCATTTGTTTATTGTTGTTGTTGTTATCTCTGTACAGCAAGTGGACAGACCAGTGCTATACAACCTAGAAGAATGTTTGATCAAAAACAATTAAAACCAGGCCTGAGGGCTGTAGATTAAAAGCTTGGTGGTATCACTTTGTGTCCACTAGGCTCACTGGGCTCTCTCAATGTTTTTAAATAGGAGGCCTATTTTTTGTTTTTCTATAATTATATTTTATTAAATTTCATAAACATTTACAGAGATTTTGGGTTTCCATTCATTCACTGCTGCACCATTCTCTCTACCCTCCTCCCAGTTTGTTCTTGTCCAAATGCCACAGT